TTTGGCCACGTTACGACTTTATTTTGGGCATGTTATGACTTTATTTTGGCCATGTTACGACTTTATTTTGGGCATGTTATGACTTTATTTTGGCCATGTTACGACTTTATTTTGGCCATGTTACGACTTTATTTTGGGCATGTTATGACTTTATTTTGGCCATATTACGACTTTATTTTGGGCATGTTATGACTTTATTTTGGTCATATTACGACTTTATTTTGGCCATGTTACGACTTTATTTTGGCCATGTTACGACTTTGTTTTGGCCATGTTACGACTTTATTTTGGGCATGTTATGACTTTATTTTTGCCATATTACGACTTTATTCTGGCCATGTTACGACTTTATTCTGGTCATGTTACGCCTTTATTCTTGCCATTTTAAAACTTAATTTTGGCCATTTTCTGCCTTTATTTTTCATTTTGGCTATGATATGACTTTATTCTCATGTAACGACCGTATTCTGGTCACGTAATGACTTTATTCCCGCGATGTTATGCCTTTATTCTTGCCATTTTAAAATTTACTTTTGGCCATTTTCTGCCGTTATTTTTCATTTTGGCTATGATATGACTTTATTCTCATGTAACGACCGTATTCTGGTCATGTTACGACCGTATTCTGGTCACGTAATGACTTTATTCCGCGTTGTTACAACTATATTCTGACTATGTTACGACTTTATCCTGGCCATTCTACGACTTTATTCTGTTCATTTTATGACTTCATCCTGGTCATGTTACAACTTTAATTTCTTAATATACAAAGTTATTCTGTTCATGTTACGACTTTGATCTCATGATCTCATAATGTTACTTTGTTTTTGTGGTCATGTTAGGATGATTTATTGTGGTCCTTTTACAACTTTATTCTTGTCATGTTACGCATATTCTGGTTATGTTATGACTTTATTCTGGTCATTTTACGAATTTATTTTGGCCATTATACAACTTTAATTCTTAATTTACAAAGTTGTTCTGCTCATGTAATGGATTTGATCTCATAATGTTAGAATATTTCTCTGGTCATATAACAACTTTCTGTTAGGACTTTATTTGGGTTATGTTAGGTCAAACTAATGCTTATCATTAAATATCGAAACATTACCTCACCACCATGGCTGTAGGTTCATGTAGGATTGATTGATTTTGCTAGGGGTACGAATAAACATAGTTTGAAAGTTTGTGAGCCTTGAGGATGATACGGGAACAATGTCATGTTTTATTTCTCTTTGGCCTCTACATTACTTCAGTGAAGGAAATTAATCAATTAAAACATGTTTAACATTTTCTTCCTGGTGTCTCTTGCAGTACGGCGTCCTCGCAGCCCTCCAAAGAAGGAACCAAAGCCTCCTAAAGAACCTTCTCCACCTCCCAATGAAGAACCCAAAGCCGAACCAACTTCCAGTATAAGAGATATCATTAAGCAATTCAACAGTCGACCACCAGCAGAACCCCAGCCATTCGAGCCCGTCAGGCCTGTGTGAGTAATGTCTTGTTTTTACTGAAATATTGAAACGCAGTGTTCATACGCCTGCTTTATCTTGCTGACCTTTTACAATAAAAAATAACAAACGTCGACATTTCTAAATAAGTTTTAAAGATTTGTATTTCTATTTTGGTTCAATAGTTTGTTTCTGGAGTTAGAAATAAAGATGCATTTTTATTGGTCTGTTGGATGTTAGCAACAGCATTTTGATTGGTTAAAAGCGTTTGGATCGGGCTTATAGTGAAAACAACTGTTACCGCAGTTAGAAAACAGTGCAGTTTATGGAGCATAATCTGAAAAAGAGAATTTTGAAAAAAATGAATTTTAAACTTTAAAATCTATAAAATACATACATAAAAATACAATTAGGAAAAATTGAATAAACAATAGAACATAAAAAATTGGGGGAAAAAAATGATTTGACAAATTATATCTAAGGAGAAAAGTTTACTCTCAAACTCTTTTTTTGGTTTATGAATTTTTAAAAAAGTTTTATTGCTGGATTGGATTTTTTTCTTATTTTCTTTGAAGACACGTGTTTTTCGCTGCAATAATATTGGAGCAGAATTCCCTCCATACTTATCATGTTTATCATCTAAATAAAGGAAGAAATGCAGCCTTGGCTTTGATAAGCTCCCTAATAAATTGGCAGCACATGTTTGTTGATGTTTTCTTTGACTTGAGTCAATAAAATCAGTATCTGAATCAGCCTTGGAGAAAATGGAAAGTTACTAAATCTGAGGCCTGATTGTTGTTGTTCTTATTATACGGCAAAACCTATTGTTTTGTTCAGTTTTATCTATGATTGAAAAGGATTAAATCACAATAATAATTATTTGGAAAATGTTTTGCCTGTTATTTTTCCAATGTTGTTTGGTTCTCATTTATTATATTCTATTTCGTTTTTTTCCCTTATTTGTTTAGTTCTCTGTTCTTTATTTATTTACATTTATTTAGCGATGGCCATTTGATTTCTTTACTTTGAGTTTATTTTGCTGGTATTTAGCGCTGAAACATTTATCGATTATTGAAATAATTATCAACTGATTTAGTAATTGATTAATCATTAACTGGAGCATAGAGACTGTAAAACATGGACTTAGCTGATAGAGTGACCCACTTAGAGCAGGAATTAGATCAAAACCAAAAATATTCAGTATTTTTCATTAAGATGAAAACAAAATTCTTCTGTCAATCTGCTCTATCCAGAACTGACATGAAGAACATTTTTAGTTTCACCAGGTTTAATTCTTTAAGAAATATTCTCCTCCGATTATTTATCATTCAATCAAATTAAATAATGATCAAAATAATCGGAAGTTGCAGCCCTACTGTTATTGTCCTCGTATCCGTTAAAGTTTTCCCTGCCTTTGGGTTCAGAGACTATCCAGAATTAAAGAAAATAAGCTTTTAGTTTTTTTTTTTTTGTTTCTTAGGTTAAAAAGAACTTTCCAATTTTTTTAACATTGTTTTGTTATTCATTTTTTAGAAAACAGAAAAGATCATTCCTTAAGAAGAGTGACCCGAAAGAGGAAGCTCTGGCTAAACTGAAAAACAGAGGCCCGCTGCCACAGCAACAGGTAAACTGTGGAAAACTTGTGGATTTAAATAATTGTTTCTCTGTTTTAATTATCTTTTTTTTTAATATTATGCAGAAAAATGTTTCTTCTCCTCCACCACCGCCACCTCCTCCACCAAAGGCCCCCTCTCCTCCGTCCACCAGGGGTCGCAGGGTCATTTCTCAGGATATGCAGCAGAAGCAGCGCCCCCTGGAGGAGCTTTTTGGCCCCCAGCGCTCCCAGAATCCTCCCCCTCTTCCTCCGGACTCCCCACCGCCTCCTCCAGAAGAAGCCCCCATCTTCATGAACATCCCAGACCCTCCTCCCATGCTCGCTCCTTCTCTCTGTGGGTACCCCTCCTTTGAAGATAATTTAATTCAATCATTTAATGTGAAATTCCTGCTGCATGATTGAGCACTGAAGAGACATTAAATGTTCTGCTGTTTGACTCTAGATGACATGCTTGATGATGAGGGCTACAAATCTCAGCTTCACCGTTTCTCCGCCGGGGTTTTCTTCACTCTCTTCAACATGCCGGGAAAACTTTTCCTGCGAAAAGAAGTGAGACTCTGCTTACATCACACACATTTAGACAGACAACTACACCTGTAAAAAAAACAAATGTTCAGGGCGCCAAGCGTTCGTTCTGATCGTGTTTAGTCCTTTTTGTTGTTGTTGCAACAAAGAAAATGTTTTGTAAAAACAAATGATAAAAAAAGGAAATCTAGAAACGAAACTTTGAAAAACATCTTAATCAAAAAAAAATTGTTAGAGATTTTATATTTTTCAATATTATCTTTTAAAATCCAATTTAATTCACTTTATTCATATAGTGCCAATTCACAGCATGTCAGCTCAAGGCACTTTACAGTTCAACCGGAACATACAGTCAGTTTGATCAAAAGTTTTCTATCTAAGGAAAACCAGTTGGATTTTACTGATTACTGAACTCGACAGAGAGGGCAGAACGTTAGAGATTAAACTAACAGATTCTGCAGAGTGGGAGAATAGAGATAGAATGAAGCAGAATGATAAAAAGGGTCCCTATGTCCTCCAGCAGTCTAAGCCTATAGCAGCATAACTATAGAGATAGCTCAGGATAACCTGAGCCACTCTAACTACTAGCTCAAAAAGGAAAGTTTTAAGCCTAGCCTTAAAAGTAGACAGGGTGTCTGCCTCACGGACTAAAACTGGTAGTTGGTTCCACAGGAGAGGAGCCTGATAACTAAAAGATCTGCCTCCCATTCTACTTTTAGAAATTCTAGGAACCACTAGTAAACCTGCAGATTGAGAGCGAAGTGCTCTGTTAGGAACATAAGGAACAATCAGATCTCTGATATCAGATGGAGCTTGGCCATTTAAGGCTTTATATGTGAGAAGGAGGATTTTAAATTCTTTTCTGGATTTAACAGGAAGCCAATGAAGAGAAGCCAGGATAGGAGAGATATGATCTCTCTTTTTCATTTTCATCAGAACTCTGGCTGCAGCATTTTGGATCAGCTGAAGGCTTTTAACTACAGTTTGTGGACTTCCTGATAGTAAATAATTACAATAGTCCAGCCTTGAAGTAACAAATGCATGGACTAGTTTCTCAGCATCACCCCTGGACAGGAGATTTCTCATTTTTGCAATATTCCGCATATGAAAGAAGGAAATTCTAGAAACCTCTTTGATATGGGATTTAGATGACAGGTCCTGATCAAAAATAACACCAAGATTTTTTACTTTATTATCTGACATCAGTTTAATCCCATCCAAATGAAGTGACTGACTAATCAGCTTCTATTTCAAAGGCTTTGGTCCAAAGACTATAACTTTACATTCTATCAGAAAATTTCCTCCTCAAGATTCCCTCTGAACTCTGGAGAATGGATAGAAATGAGAGTGATTTGTTTCCATTTGGATTGAAGTGATCTGTAAATTAATGCAGTTTGTAAATCTCAGTCTGAAAAATATTTATTTTTGAAAATGAAAAAGCTAAAATGTATAAAATCTTTAAAAAACGAAAGTAAAATTCAAAAAAAAATGTTGAATAAAATGAAGCAAAAGCGATGTCATATGCTATGAAAACAACAATAAAATAAATCCAGCAGAAATAACCAAACTGAATAAGTTTATTTTTTCTGCAGGTGTTTTATCCAAAGGAACGTTTCAGCCAGCCTTACGTCCTGAACCTGTTGTGTGAACAAGTAAGTATTGATCAGCTGGATTTATAAAATGTCTCATCAGGATCACATATCAGACTTTATCATCTCTCATCTTTTTCAGATCATGAGAGACACCTATTCTGACAGCTGTGTGAGAATTACTGGTGAAGAAAGACAGAAAATGAAAGACCTGTTTGGTGAGAATATAAAGACTGAATCACGTTCAGCCGCACGCAGCAGAGGCAGTAAAAATGCACCTGCTGCTTCATTTTTGATGCTTGTCCACATTAAGATCAGACGTCCAGTAAAGTGTGTCCAGATGCGTCTGATGCTTCTGCTGCTCCTGTGTTCAATGCCAGAGAGCAGCTTTGCTATATTAGCTGTGATCAGTGGGTAAAAAGTAGTTTGAATCTATGTTGAAGGAGAAAGTCCTCCTGAAAACATGGTCTGTGCAGTCAGTTCATCCAGATTACCATCCTGCCTTCAAAGATTATTTCTCTGTGGGAGCCGCTCAGACCCCCACATACCGGCGGTGCGCTGTCACTGGGAATCCCCAGCAGCAGCTGCCTCAGGCCCGCGGGCCTGTTTGCGGTTTTTCTGCTACTGTTGGTGGCGCCTGGAAGGCATTTTTCACAAACTTAATCCAAACTTCAGGCACCAGAATAATAAAAACATATTTTACCTGCAGGTTTCTATATTTTAAGTTAATTTAGGTGTTAATAAACGTTTTCAGTGGAGTGATCATAGCGCTCTGCATCAGCAGTCTGTGTCTGTCTCCCTGCCAGCTCCCAGGTCAGCTTCTCTGATTGGTTGATGCGGTGTGTCCAGCAGCTAAAGTTACATTTTTCCAACTCCAACAGCTGCTTTGTCTGAAGCGCCTTAGATGCTCAGAAGCTCCTGACGCGCTGCTCAAAACCTGCTGCAGGATCTTTTGTTGCGCACTGATGCACGTCAACCAGTGACTTTGTATGTAAACCAGCTGCTTCTGCTGCCTCTGCTGCTAGTGGTCTGAACGTAGCTTTAGAATGAGCTGCGCTTTCTTTATGTTCACATTAAAATCAGAGAAAAATACCAGAACTGGTTTCAGGTTTAGACATTTTTTAATAAAATACTTTCAAACAATTTATTTACCAATACACTCTTTGTTTAAAAGTAGATCAGAGATTTTAAACAGTTTATAATAAAGAATTATACAAAGTATAACAACAAAAAGTAAAAAAAAACAATTCACTGGACTTTGTTTCCAGCTTTGAAAACCAAACGTTTTCAAACCAAGTCCAGGGGATTATTTTTTTTAACTTTTTTTAATGACTATGACCTGGATGATGGAGAATCTTCACCAATATATTTTTTTGTGTATAAAATACAACTTTTTAAATATATGAAAAAGCACAAATAATTTAAAAGTCTAAACCTCCACAGCGCAAACACTGAGATGACAATGTGAGGTGATTAATGGGATCTGCAGGCTCATGGTTGTATTGGTTAAATGGAAGTCATGAGACCTGCAGAGTTCATCATGGTTTAGTTTGTGCTTCATTAACCCGTCTTCCTGCCGTTACTCTGCTTTATGTTGCAGCAAATTTCCATGTGGGCACCAGCATTAGCACCATTCAGGATGACAGCATGAAGAAGAGAATCGTCATCGCTGCTCGGGATAACTGGAGAAACTACTTCAGTCGACTCTTCCCGCTCACCGTAAGCTTCAGGACAAAAGAAGAGGCTGAAACTATTTTCTCTTATTTAGTTTTTCCAATTCAGGTCATTTATGCAGTGATAAATGAAAACAAGGTTCCTGAAGGGAAAAGAGTAAAAAAATTTTACTCTTGACACATAATCACTTTATAACATCACTAGTAGGGGGGTAAATCCCACCGTTCATGGCGATTCGATTCAGTATCAATTTCCTGACCCAAAGATTCGATTATTTTCAATACTCAAGAATACACCACGATAATCCACCTAGGCCTATGAAAACATAATTCACTGAAAAAAAATAATGCCTCTGTGTTATAGAATCTTGCATCAAAAAATACTGCAAGCCAAAAGAGGGAAGTAGCTAAAGGAAGTGAGGTAGGAGGGCAAAATAGGTTTAGCGCCCCTGCAGCACGGGAGTCAGAATTACGTCCAGGAGCAAATGGATAAAAATAGACCAGAGGAAAAATAAAAATGAATCGATTATCTTTCAGACGTGTCGCTCCATCGGATCGTCTGCTGTTGGGTCGATGCATCGATACAAAATGATTATTATTTACACCCCTAATCGCTAGATTATATCATTTTGCAGTAAACCTCATTCACACTGACTGCAGATGGAAGTGGCCGTTATGCGCCACAGGTGGACGGTGGCTGAGAAACTGCATGTTGATCTCTCTGCATGCACTGCATGCGAAAAGTCTTTCATCTGGAACCATAAAAGTTTTCAAACCGTTCTTTTAGTTCTTTCATCTCTCTGTGGTGGTTTTATTTGCACCATTTGGTTCCTCATCTGTAAACTCTGCTGACAAAACAGCTTGAACTGGTTGTTTAGAAGTCCGAGGCAAACAGAACAAAAGCTTTTAAGAAGCATTTATTAGTTCGTAGCTACTGTGATAAAAACATAGCAACGTGTTTGGGCCTGAAGGGCCTCCGTCAGGGCGACGGCATTTTACCAACTTTCCTAAATGTTCTACGTGGATCCATTAGTGAAGAGCACCACAGGAACATCTTCTCACTCCTGATATGCTCTCCATGCTCAGGGTCTTTGATTGCAGCTGAAACTTATTCCTTTTTTTTTTACATTTGAGTTCAATAATTCATTATTAATAATAATTGTAATTCCCTCCAAGCACAAACTCAAGTGGTTTTCTTTCACTGGTTTATTTAAAGTTGCTCTTGACCTCTTCAAATCCATCGTGAAAACTGCATAATGTTGACAAACATAAACATTAATGTGATAAAAATAATAACTTGCAGAGCAAATGTAATAATAGCTACAAATTAAACAAATAGACAAAATACCTGGTTGGCTGCATGCTGCAAGAAAAAAGGGAATTATCCAAAAATCTTAAAGGGGATGTTTCCATAAACGTCCTTAGCTTTGACCTCAATAACTGACCTCAAAATCCTCAATAACTGATTGATTGCTTCGTCAGTGAGAGCTCAAATGAGACCTTTTTAGATTTCAAAATAAAAGCATGTTTACTATGTACTAGATAATTTAATATAAAACATATCAACTTAAAATAATTCTAATTGGACAATTACATTAGAAAAAGGAAAATAAATAATATAATTATTATGATCAATGAGCATAAATGCAACAATTATAATTATTATTTTTTTAATAATGAAAGATTCTATATGAATTAATTTGTAGAGCTGTCTAAAGTATTCATGTTTATTCCTCCAGTATAAATCCTGCTTTTTCAAAACACCTCTGTAGAAGTTAGAGGATCAACTTCAAAAGTGTAAAAGTAATATTTTAAAAACTACTTAAAGTATAAAAGTAAAAGTAATGCAGGAAACACTGTTAAGGACTGAAGCTTTACTGCTCTACTCTATTTAAGGAATATTTTTCTACAAGTCTGGATGATAACTTCCTTAGACTTCATTGTCTTAGTTTTATATCTAATGGTAACAGTGTTACATTTAACTTTGCGGCATCTTAATAAACTATTTATTTTGGTATGTGGTGAGCAACAAGTTGGGGCAGCACTGAGTGCAACCACAAAAAAATTGAATTGTCTGGATGAAACTAATTATTTTGATGGTTTTTATTTTTTTTAAATACCAGTGGGCCATAATGAAAATAAGCTTAAATGAAACAAAACTAACGAGACTATTTTTAAAATGTTAGGAGTAGAAGGAAAAGGTCTAAAAATAATTACTCAGGTAGAGTATAGATAGCCAAGGAGGGAAACAAAGTATTTGTAATTTTTTACTCGATACCTCTGCTTTTATGTATCTAAGGATGTTTACTACTCTTAATATTTGTTATGTTATCTTATTATTATTATTTATTTTGCATGTGTAGCTTTTTACAAACTAATATAATATTTATATGATTTTTCTGCATGCAGCCACAAAACGGAGATGCTGAGATTCTGGGCGTTTCTCATCGAGGGATTCGTCTCCTAAAGGTGGTGAAAGCTTCAGGCATAAACCCTAAACATCTGAAACTGCTCCGGAGTTACAGGTATAATCCTCACTGTCCCCTTTAAAAAAAAAAAAAAACATAAATTCTGTTCCATGGCCTTTGATTTAAACACAAACCTGTTTTTATTGTTTACTGACTTTTACTCCAGTTTATTATTATTCCTTCCCTGTCCTGTTTACAATAGACTTGTTTTTATTTTTTTGCAGCTGCAGTTGTTTTAAATTTTATAAAGTTTTAAAAAGTACTTTGAATAGAGCTACAGCAAGCTTCAGTTATTACCCTAACCATTTATTTTACTTTATTTCACAAGGAAACCAAATTTATTCAGGAATGGCCCCATTTTTAACAGCCATGCTCCATTAAGGTAGCACTGCGTAACTTTTGACCAGCCAGTTAGCTTATTTTAAATACTTTCTTTAAACCAATATGCAGTGCTTGGTGTGTATTAATGTATATCTCTAAAACTTGTCTAACTTTAGAGGGTCGGATCTATCACTGAATTAGTCATGTGACCCAGAGCGCCGCTTTAATTCAGTTCAGTTTATTTCTATAGCTCCAATTCACATCATATCATCTCAAGGCATTTTCCAGTTCAACAAGATCATCCAGCCAGATTGATTCAAAGTTTACTATCTGAGGAAAACCAGTTGATTGCATCGACTCATTGACTCTTCAGCAATCCCTCACACTAAGCATGCTTGTAGCGACAGTGGAGAGGAAAAACTCCCCTTTAACAGGAAGAAACCTCCAGCAGAACCAGGCTCAGTGTGAGCGGCCATCTACTGAGGCCAGAGCCAACTAAGCTAACAGATGTGGCCCTAACCTGATTCGATATGTTTTTGTTTCTCTACTGCAGGATTTAATCTGCATTGGTGAATTAGTTCCTTGTCTTTACCAGGAGCTTTCTCCTTCTGTTATCAGATTCTAAACCACGGAGGGAAACCTGTTCATTTAGAGACAGTACAGTGTTGCATTTAGATACACTAAACCTGGAGATTACAGGTCTTGCGCTCCCCTGGCAGGTTTAGTTCTACACATCATTAATCTGGGACCCATCTAATCTGTCCAGTGAAAGGCAGGACATTCAGTAGAGCCTCCAGCTGTGTCATGATGGAGTGTCAGCTTTCAGGGGAGGTTAGTTTAGTGGCTAAAAGTGGCTTTAAGTCATTGCTATACATGACACTGCTATACATATGCTATACATTCCTATAGGGTGTAAATGCATTAAATACATAATAAACTTGCATTTTTAATACTGAATTCAGTCACTGAGAGTAACTCCTATATTTTTCCATTGGGAGGCCATCAATCCCAGATCAGAGTTCTATCTTAAACAGCCTTTAATATATTAGCTTTGAAAAGTTACAGATGATGATTTTATCGCTCCCCCAGCTGTATGAGTGTGAATTTTCCCTCTACAACGTAATAAAACCATTTCCTATGAATATAGTTTTGCAGAGGTGCTTTCTGTAGACCTTCAGGGCGCAGATGAAGTAAAACTGGAGCTTAAAACTGAAGATCTGGTCCTGCAGTCCACCAGAGCTCCTCAGATCACTGCCATGATTGAAGTTTTCCTCAAGGAACTCATAAAGGTAATCTTTCATTAGTCATCATACTCCTCACACATGTGCTTCTGAAATATGTTGCTGTCGCACTTGAGCTGAATCACTTCCTCCACTGCCTTTTCTCATTGGGTCATTGCTCAGACCAACCAAGGTTCAACGACTTCTTAACCAAAGGAGTCCAACCATGCTTAGCATTTCAGTAGCACCTATCTGTTTGGGTAGATAAAACTCAGCTGGCCTTTTAACTCCCTAGGTCCTAAGGGCTGGTTATCCTCCCGCAGCAGTGTGTCGCAGTTAGCTTGTCGCAAGTATCATGCAGATATGTTTGATTTATGCCCAATATTGAAGCGTGGTCTGCGCTGTTATTCCATGCCACCACGCCAGAGGGACAATCAGGAACTAGCTAGGATTGTGGGTGTCCGTGTGTCGGTTTGACGAGCTTGTTTGCCATCTACAACACCTCATCCAACGCCGGACGACACCCCAAAGACTGGCCGTTTTGCTGCACCTTTTGGCTTCAGGTGCAAGCCAACAGACCGTCGCACAGAGCTACAAAGTAGCGTCCTGCACTGTGTCTGGGATAGTGTCCGAGGTGTGCCAGGCGTTGTGGACGGCGCTACAGCCAGAGTTTCTTTGAGTTTTTGCGGCACTAGTGGCTTGTTTTATCGACAGTAGGCTGACAGGAAGGGGGAATGAGAGAGGGGGAGAGACATGTGGCAAAGGACCACAGGTCGGATTGGAACCCGGGTCGGCCGCATGGGGACTAAGGCCTCCGTACATGGATCATGCACACTAACCACTGCACCACCTGCACGCCCAACAGCCAGTGTTTCTGCCATTAGGTACCAAGCAGGAAATATCTGCATTAACTGCAAAATATCTGCATTAACTGTGGGTCTTATCCTAAATCAACCAGCACTCATTATGATGAACAGTTAAGTCTTGAACTCAAAGGTCGTTGTCTAAAACAATCTCTGCTAGAAGCAACCTTTAAAGACCTCTTTATAAAAATTAGCCTCTGCACCAAAACTAATTTACATCCATTTAAAGAACTCAATAAAAAAGTGACTCAAAAGTCAAAAATCATCATTTTAAATTTTCAGATTTAAACTTTCATCCTAACCCTTTCTAACGTTTAACCTGAGGAAGTTTTTTGTTTTTGTGCAGCAGACAGAAGGATAATTCAACAAGTGGAACCAGTTATGGCCAATGTTTCTCTGGGCAAAGGGATCGATCGATCGAAGTTCCACTTAATGGCAGCGTACTCGTGTTCTGGCCTGATGGGTCTCTTTTCTCTGGCGGGGCTATAAATTCAAAATAGACGTATACCAAAAAACAATCAAACATATACCAAGTTACCCCACCAGTATATTTATATGAATACCAACAACAGAAAATATTATAAAAACACTTAATAAAATCAAACATATTTTCACAAACAGCTTTACATTTTGTCCATAAATCTTACCCTTCTGAAGCTTTGTGAAGGTAAATCTGTGTTTTTCATGGCCCAACATTGTGTCACAAACCTAAAAAATAATATAACAGTTTAATAATGGAGAAGCTATTAGTCAGCTTTATATTGTTTTAATATATATAAATTTATATTTATTTCCTGAGATTTTTTTAGTTTAAGAGCAACTATGCAAATTAACAAACATCTAGAAAAAGTAGACTATATTGTATTATTTTCCATGTGAATCCCAGATTATTCATCCTGACCTTTGAAAAAGGAGGCAGAGAAAGCAGAATAAAGCCTTAGCCTTGCTGCATGCAGTTAGCCAAGACTCATAGCTAAACCAGGACCCGTCTCTCTCCTTTACTCTCTCCAATGCGTCTCTAACTCCTGCGACTCGACCTGTCAATCACCCACAAAACGTCTGCACTGTGGCGGGAGGTGGTGAGCTAATACACTTCCTGTTACCTCAGGCCGCAGCTTTCCTGCTATCCTATAATTCTGTTGCAGAGGAGCTGCTGCAGATGGACACCTTTTAACGAGAATCAATGGGCAAAGATTTTTACGGCCTAGGGGGAAATACGTCACCAATCCGAGGAAAAATTAAAAATTAAATGATTCTTTACTCGTCATTAAAGATTTAATATTTATCTTGCATATCCAGCATAAATATATTAATATATTTAGAATTTTTTTTTTATTAAACTATTAAAATATATATATATATATATATATATAAATATATATATAAATCCACATCCACTCGGTGCCTCAGGCACATTACATAGATAACTGTGGAAGTTTCAGATGATCTCCACAGACCAGGTTTGGGTATTTTCTGAGAAGCAGCCTCGGCTGATTGGACTGTTGGTTAGTCCCGGTTTTCACGCCCAGAGATCTGTCCTCTGGGTCGTTTCCTCTTCTGTCTTGCTCTGCTTTGTGTTTGGATATCTTCTGTGTAGACTGAGCTCCCCAATCCTTTCTTGTTCCACTTGAATACTTTTCTACTACCATCTTCTCATCCATCCTCCTTCCTTCTAAAGGACTCAGGCCATGTAGTTGCTCTGAAGAGTTATGTGACGGATGACAAGACTCTCCTGAGCTTCAAGAAGGGGGATATCATTAAGCTGCAGCCCATGGATGTCATTCAGCCTGGTGAGATCATTTTCACAGCTTACTGTGCGTTTCATGGTAGATGTTCAACTGAAGCGAATCATGTTTTATATAAACCTGCTCTTTCTGAACCTTGCACCAGGGTGGGAATTTGGCACCACCGGTGGGCGTTCTGGTCTTTTCCCACAGGACTTCACCCAGCCATGTGCGGCTCCTGATTACCACAGTCTTCACCTCGACCGAAGAGACGACAGGAGAAAAAGCATGAGGACAACCAAAACTGAAAGTGTGAAAGGCAAACCTCCAGTTCCTGTCAACAGATACATGCTCAGCATTCCTCCTATGAGGCGAAATTTGGATCCCCCAGCTTCAGCTTCAGCTTCAGAGCAGAGATCAATCCAGATGTCAGAAAATGGTTCAGAGAGTCATCGTCAGTCTCCCATGATTGAGTTTGCCAGCAAGTACTTCAGGTAAGGGAAACATGAAAATGAATGTTTTTCATTGCAGAGTGTGTTGATTTAATTTTTCCAAACATGTTTTTTGTTGCATGATGTGGCGCTAAAAGAGTTGGGACAGCAGGCATCACTGGAAAACTCCTCTCCGAATCAGTTCAACACACACTGGTAAGAACCTGACAACACTAATCAACATTAAAGATTTATATATATGCATGCTGGTCATTAAAGGTATAGAGGACAATCTTTTATTTCCGGGTGGATCATCTCAATAAGTGGTCCTCCTAACTGTCAATCATCCTGGTGATCTGTTTCCGTAAAGCTGTACTACGTGCTCGTCCTGTTAGCTATCTTTTTCTGTGCACTTTCAGGCGTATATCTGTGGTGAGCTACGATTGAAGCTCACCTTTCTCACCGCGGTTTTTTGAAATGGCTACGAAGTGTATGAGAAGAAAAGAAAGGCCTCAGAAGAGGCAGATAGAATCCCAGAATGCTTTGCGCGGAGAGCTCTCCTCGCAAAGCCTTATGGGATTTGCTGTCACCATAGGGTGCCGCTACCCGACAGCGGCGACTAATAAAGATGGTGCAGGAGGAGGAGTTACGTGACCAATGGAGCAAAAAGTAGTGATCATCTGAAACATGAAATTCAGTCAGCCGTTGTTAGTTGGTCGTGGACAAATCTTGCTGTTGAAGCAGAGTTATGAGCTGATTTACCAGAACATGGAGCACTGGGCATGTGCAAACAAGGGAGTTCTACATCTTCCAGATTGAGGAGTCCGACAAGTGCCGTCTTTCAACGCTGAGTCCCACCTGGTTTTTAGATGTACAGTGTGAGCAGGTAGATTGCATCAGAGCGTCGGGTCGCACAGTGTGAGAACAAACATTGTGAGCTGGGAACTTTTAAGACCTGCAATTTCGTCGTACAGTTTGAGCTGCAGCTGCGTCCGACGATTGAAAATATCGCACAGTGTATGCTCGGCTTTAAAGGCCACCATTTTACCATCAGCTGAACCAGCTGATATTAATTTGCACTGAGGAGGGTCAGGATTGCTTTCTAATTTCTGAGAGATTTCAGCCTTTTTGCACCTCCTTTTATTCACGTGTTCAACACTTTTCCCCTTTGCCGTTTCACTTTATTACTCATGACTTAATTTCTGGACATCTATGGTTTGATTTCTTTATATGTGAGGATCGCATGGATTATTACCGACATCTGGTGAAAATGTTACGTCAATGGCGCCTCTAGAAATACATATTAATTCTTATTTTACCTGCTGTATCACCAACAATCAGGAGACATAGATGTAATATTTTAAACCTACGACAAGATGTGTTCAGGATGAAGAAATTATTTCATGAATCAGAGCAACTTATTTGGTTGAAACTGGAGGGAAACAAACATTTAACAAATGAGATTTTGTTTAATGTGTTATAAACTGAGTCTATTAAAATATTAGACGTTAATTTTAACTTTTTTTCTTCTAAAGGTTCCCATCCCTGAATCACTTATTCTCTATGATGATCCTGAAATCAATGGTCTGGCTGTTGAGTGCTTCCAGAGTGAGTTCATCAGTTCTGTTTTAAGGATTCCTAATATTGTTCTCTGGCATTCCCACTTCATTGATCATTTTATTTGCAGACATGATGCAGTTTGTGGGCAGCATTCCATCACGAGCGTCCCAACCAGATTTACTTCATAATATCCTGCTGGTCAGACCCTTTTTTAGAGTTAGACTTCCATGTTTGCTGATGTTACATCAACTGCATTAGTGTAGACTAATTTTTCTTCTTTTTAGTTGGGGAAAGAAAAAGAAATACTTAGAGATGAAATCTACTGCCAGGCCATCAAGCAATCAACCAACAACCCCGACGAGTGAGTATTTAACATTCAGAAGAGATATTTTCTATCCTTTTTACAGGTTATCCCGTCTCTTAGGGAACATTCTGCAGATCAATGTTATAAAAAGATGAATGTCACTACCATTAAAACTTAACAGATCAATTTTAAGGTGAACCCCAAAAAAATTCAAAGAAAGTTTGACTAAAAACTCAACTAATCATTAAGTAGCACAGTTAAAAGCGACTATAACGTTTTGTATTTTCAATTGATTAATATTATAAGAATTTTATTTTGAAGAAGGTTAAGAAAGACTAAAGCTGTGTCCAAACTTTTGCCCTAATCACTATATTGTGTTTTCATGCCATTTTAAATTAATGTCCGAACATCAAGTGTATGAACTACTAGTGGACTCGATATTTCCCTCAATGCACCTTGAAAAGTAGTGATCATCCATGGTCACAAGACGAGCCGATATGCAGTAGCAGCTATTTAAAACGGTCCTTTCCAGTCAAACGGCAGCCAAATGGAAGCCTAATCCCATGCACCGTGCGGGGAGGAGAAGTTACATCATCAAAGGGGAGTGAAAAGTAGTGAACTTCTTTCCGAACGGTCAGTTTTCTGAGTTCACGTAGTAGTTCATGTAGTCCCTGCTCTATGTAGTGACTGAGGGATTTAGTGGTTAGGGCGGACGTTTGGACACAGCCATGGACTTCGGATGGTAATAAATAAAGAAAGAAATGGCCTTGTGTGCACTAAGAGGAACAACTCTCCACCACATCTCAAGTTTCTGTTTGTTACAGAAGCTACAGGAACTCATGTCAGCAAGAGTTCACAATGACCTCATGTTAATCTGCCTAACAGACCAAGGCTAGACTAAAAGGAAATCTTTAAGACTTATGGGAGGGGGAGAGATTTATTGAACGCTGCCATTGGCGCGTTTTTATGGTTGCCAAGGGCCCCACCGTGAGGCGGTTCCCTTATAGCGCTGCCTTTATCTCTGTGGAAAGATAGGAGCCAGATTGGGGAGGCAGAGGGAAAAAAAGCATATTTCACACTTTATTCTTGTCAGGGTATAGTTTGATATATAAAAAAAGGAGGCCACATGAAAGTCAATCAAACATTTGAAAATCAGTTGTGTATGTATGATGGGTGCGTTCAATTTGTCCAGGAACGCTTTCCACCGGCCATTGCCCTAGATAAGATGGAAGTTTATCAACCGGTACTACAGTTCTGGATGCATCCACAGGTGTTTGCGGGTAGGGGAGGTGGAGGTGAGCCGGCAGTTCTGGCCCTTCTGCCATAACATTGAGGGGAGGTTTGATAAGGGGGAGGCCGAATCCAAAATAACACTTATTGTTTTGAGAGCAGGCTGCACAGAATTACCTTTCAACCTTGAGTCTTTTCTTGCTGGCACTACATGGCAAATCCAATATTCTGAATTTGCTGGGCTTTTACGCCTTTAAGCGATCGTGCACATCCAAGATATTATCCCATCTCACCTTTGAGTTCAACCACTGCAGCCTGCCTGCGTTCAATCACACCCAGCATACTGCTCAGCTCACGGTCCTGCTCGTTCACAGCCTTTGTGAGCGTCTCCCAGCCCTCATCATAACGCTCTTATGTTCTGACATACGCTTCTTCATGGCTTCGTCTTTGCAGATCAAGCTGTACCCTTGCCTGGCGACTGCTCAACCTCATAACTGGTTTCTTTCCCTGCTCTGGTCTCCTGCAACTGTTTGTCATTGAACACCTGCAAGACATCGCTCAGAGCAACGGCCACCCGTACCAAGGTACAGGACAGAAAAAGCTCATTTCTTAAGTGAGTTAGTAAACTTTAGTCTGATTTTTTTATTTGCTTTTTTAACATCAGAACAAGCAAGTGTTTGTGAGGATAACCTGCAACGTTCTATCGCCTTTGGTGGTCGACGCAACATTCCTTCTCAAGTTGAGATGCAGGCTGTTTTGGTAGGTTTATCTGTACAATAAGACAGAGGGCAATATTTCTATGTGAAGAAGGTGATTTTATGTTGTTGCTTTTTTGCAGCTTGAAGCCTGTGTCATTTTTAAATGTCTTTTTCTTCCAGAATGGCAAAACTTCTCAACGTTTGTCCATCCACTTACCAGGAGGGGTAGAGTTTCCTGTCAAGATCCGCAGCTTCAGTGTATGATTTGTTTTTAAGACAAATGAACTATTTCCACATGAAATAATCCAAACAGAGTGATGTGTCTCTTTTTGGAATTCACATTTCACTTGTCTTCATCTAGGTGGCAGTAGACGTGATGAAAGAGCTGTGTGAAAACATGGAGATTCTAGACTTTGCAGAAGTTAGGGAGTTTTCAGTCATCGCAAGGAGGCTTCAAGGTAACCGTTGAATCTAAAAAAGGTTGATCCAGCTATTTGGATCTTAAAAGGGTAAAATTATGTAACAGTTTCAAAATGTAAAATCTCTGATGGCAAACAAGGTTTACTAAAGGATGTCCAAAAGGTGTATTATTGGTTGTTTTTGCTCTATTTCTTAGTAAATAAAGACCTTGCTGTATATTTAGAGTAGCAGCCATTCAAACTGGCCCTTCTCAGTCAAACGCCAGCCTGTAAAATTCAGCTTGATTAAAAGCAGAACTCACGATATACTCAAGGGGGATTTTGTCACAGGAGTCAGGTAAAATGTGTTACATTATTAATTTGATATAAAAGTAAAAATATCCAACCACTTAGTAAGAACTTTGTTGATTTTTAGCAACACTGATTTATTAGAGAGAGAAAAAAATCACAATACTACCAAATATCAATAATTCATTCAATAGTGATTCGGTATAAACAGATCAATAACCAAAAATACTTCATAACCTATTTATAAGTTAGACTCAAAAGACTCAATTTAAATCAGCAAAAGACCTTAATAACTGAAAGTCCAAAACGTCCAGTTCGTTTTATTTTTAATAATAATGTCTACAAATGAGTTCCAAGTCCTCTGAACTCAAAACAAAGTCCTGGAAGTGTTTAAGTCAAAAGTCCTGTTCCAAAATGAAAAATTCAAACGTCAAACCCTCCAAAAAAAGATAAGAAAGAAGAGTGGTATCGCTAAAAATCCCCAAAAAGGGAAATCAAGTCCAGATCTCACCAGGAGCGTCTTTCTTTCTCCTCGGCGGCGTCTTCTTGCACCTCTGGGTGTAAACTCCGAGCAGTTTTCTAGACGCCTGTTCTGCGGCGCTGCAACAATCTTTGGTTGCGGTTTTATCTTTGTTCTTTTATTTTTAACACATTTTGAACATACAACCAAAACAAAAACTCCCGCTGCACAGATCTGTCAGTGTGCGTCTTCCTCTCCGGTCAAGCCGTGTGCGCCAACGCACTCGCCCCTTTTTATTAACAAATTTTCTCCACACCAAAAAAAGCAACATTTTAATACCTAACATCATTTTTAACTAGTGGAGATTTGAAATAATATTACCAATGAAATAATAACTGTTCTACCAAACAGTTTTTTATCTGTACTCTTTAATATTACAAGAAAAGAAAATAAGACAGTGGTTATGTTCCAAGCCGAATGGCAGCCAATTCCCCTCCAACTCCCAGCCACAGGAATCACCACCTTTTGCTTATTTTTCTCTCTGACTCCGCCCCTTTCACTGAATTACAGGGTCTGACCAGGAGATGGCGCTTCTCTTTAGATCTTAATGTCCACAAATCATGACAGAGTTTTGTCTCATTTAAGCTCCATTTTCATTATGGCCTGTTACATTTTGGCCATCAAAATAATTAGTTTCATCCAGGCAATTCATTTCTTTGTGGTTGGACTTGGTGCTGCCCCAACTTGTTGCTCACCACATACCAAAATAAATAGTTTTTCAAGAAGATGCAAAGTTAAATGTGACACTCTTACCATTAGTTATAAAACTAAGCACATTCAAATGAAAATGTATTGAACAGTATGTAATCATTTCATATTTAAAGTACTTTCAGAAGTTTTTATTCTGTATATGACCAGACTTTTCCTTTACAGCCTAATAATACATGCCATTTGCGTGTTAGGAATAACGTTTTCCCAGCAGAGTATCTAATTCGGACAGTTCTTCTGTCAGGATAGAAAGTTATCATCTCCATTATGTACATAATGATCTGGGAAGGAAATGGGAGCACAGACGGAGTGGATCATTCTTCACAGATAGTTCTGTCACTGTGCATTCACAACGTCCTTCATTGAGAACACTGTATTTTTTTTTTGGAGTTTTTAACGGCACTAGCGGCTTGTTTTTTCGACAGTAGGCTGACAGGAAAGGGGGGATGAGAGAGAGGGAGAGACATGCAGCAAAGGACCACAGGTCGGATTGAAACCTGGGTCGTCCACGTTGAGGACTAAGGCCTCCGTCCAGCGGTCAGGCTCGCTAACCACTGCCCACCTGCACGCCCCCAAACCAATGTTTGATGTAATGTGATGATGGGGCAGCCGGTGTTTATAAACTGGTTTTTGGGGCATTATGTGAAGTTTTGAGTCCACTACTTTTTCATCCCCTAGCCGTTTATACTGCCATTTAAAATGGCGTAGCCACTATATAGTGGTTAGAGCAGCAGACGGTCAGACAAAGCCGGTGTCTCCTCGGACTAGAGGACTCGCTTCATCATGGTCTGAGGTCCTTCAGGAACCTTATGCTGATCTCCAGACGGCTGCCATCTTGGTTTTCTAAAGAAGTGGCTTTGGTCCGGCTGATGGTTCTTTTTAGTTTTAGTTAGATAGAACCATCATGTAAAACCATGCAGACGTCATCGGTTTGACCTTTTCAAGTTTTATAAATGATGTTTCTGAATTACAAAGAAACAAATCTGGATCATTTCATGTGAGATAAACACTTCAGGTTTCTGTTCCACCATTAAACCTCTTTGGTCCTCTGTGTCAGATGGGATAATGCGCCCCCTGCGTCCTGAGGAGTACTTGTTTGACTTCTTACTGGACGACGGCTCCATCTTATTCTTCTTCAGGAGGGTCCTCTGGGAAAGGCCTCTTTCCTTCAGGAATGAGCTCTATGTGGAGTTCCATTATCAGCAGGTAAGAGGACTCTTTCTCTCAGACTTGCAGGTGCAAAATGATTTTATCTGGATTGACCCGTTCTTCTTGTGTGTGAAGGTGCTGGAAGAATACCTCAGTGGTAAGACGGTGATCCCTCCTAATGCTGGAGCGACCGCAGCAGAACTTGCAGCCCTGCAGCATGTGGCTCTGGGTCACAGCAACCAGCTCTCAGTGTGAGTGCGATCAGTAGAGACAGTTAAAGATGCAAAGATGAGTGAAAGAAAACACCTGAACGATGCTTTAAAATCATAACCACAGACACTGTAAAAATCACTTCCACCATAAAAGGAATGAATAATATAAATCAGAATATACCAAA